GCCCGCCCGCCCGCCCGCCCACGTGATAACATAATACGTCCCCGTCTTCGACGGGCGTATAAAAATGACCTGTGACAACCAGTACCTCGGGACTGCCCCACGTAAATGTTGAATGTGCGACCCAGCGGTGGAGGGCTAGGGACCTTAGATGGTCAGATAACTTGACCATTTTGGCCACCATGTCCCCGCTTCCTATGGTAAAGATCATTCAAATTTGTTCAAATCAGTCATCTTGATTCAGTTTCAAGGTCTTCTTTTACTAAACACTAAGCTTTTTAGCTAAACATCAGTAATCATGTAAGCTTTCTATTTGTCCTCGTCAGCCATGCATTTTGCATTGTCTTGTTAACAATGGAACATTTTCAACTTCTTAAGAACCACTAATGTTCTGACAAAGCATCTTCCCTAGAATGGCTGGAGCAATTGCCATCAAACTTCTTACAAATACTACTTATGAGGTGTTGATCAAATTTCTCCAAGATTGTCAGCTGGACTTCTGATTGGCAGACATTACATGTAATTTACATCTCAAAAACGGCTGAAGCAATACGCTTTCCACTGGCTAGATATAATCACTGTGGGCCTTTTGGGTACGGAGAAGAAGTTGTTTAGATATTTCTAAATATCAAACCCCAGTGACTTTGAAAATTGGTCAAGGTCATTTATTTTGTAGCCCTTCACCAGCAGCCGCCATCTTGGATTTTGACAGTTGAAATCTGTTTTGTTTTTCTGATCAGTCTCCAAATGAAACATGCACAACTATGGACCAAGAGAAGCCTACATAAGAAATTCAGGAAACATTTGAAAAGTATTTTTTGAGAAAAAGTACAAACGGTCAAAATCCAAGATGGCTGTTATATTAGATAAAATCAAATATTTGAAGGTGATATAAACCTATTAAGAATACATCCCAAGAAAAGTCTGTCCAGTACGTCTGAGAAATAGTGATTACAAGAATTGTTTCAAGACAGACCATGGATGAGAGGCAATTTGGCAGCCTACCATCTCATGATGGTGAAACTTGACCCTTTCACCCCTACGTTGACGAGGCCATTGTGGTCTAGCGATAAAAGCGGTAAAAAACAACACACAAGAAGAACACTGAGTGTACAAGTTTTATTAACAAAATCATACATGTGTTTTATACATATATAGGTACATGTTTCTTCAATCTCCCTGTAAAAACATTGTAGACGACTCAAAGCTATGGGGACAACACTGAATACTACTGAAAAACTGAAAATGCTGTTCTGGTAGTTTGTTTCACCTCCTGGTCAATAATACACTTCCACACAAAAACAGATATCAAAGTCACACATCTGTTGTATACTGACGTTAGGGTAATGCCACATTTTGTCAAAAATATTTTAAGTACACCTCCTGGTTTGTTTTTTTCTCTCGTTTTAACGGTGGAATTATTCTCCACTGCACTGTTCAATGTCGGGAAAGAAACAAGTCCGATTCTGCAAATAATCTGTCGGTAATCTCTGATTAAGTCACATGAGGTGAGGTTGCCAAATTTTTAAAACCATCTTTGCATTATTTACTGCAAGCCGGCTGCCCCAACCATCCTTATCCATTTTTTTATTTTTTTTTTATTTATCACCCTGGATTATTTTTGTACTGTTAATTTCCATGCTAATGACACAACCAAGATTTTCTATTAATTATAAGGAACCGCAACCAACGCGTTTATTTTTACCTCATGTTACTATAATCGAATCGACATATTTGGACATGCATCAGAATAATACTTTTGTTGCTAAAACTTGAACCAAACCTGTTACTGCTCAGACAGTGAACCGGTGAACAGCTGCCAATCGGACGGTGAAACAAACTAGGAACATCGATGTTAAATCTTGTACACTCAACTAAAACGTTATGTTAAAAAGGTGGCACCACATTGTTAACAATGATCCAGAGTTTTTCTTCTGTTTCTCAATTAATTTTCCCTATTATCAATATTACTTAAATATTAGCTTTTACAATCAACTATTGATCAGACAACAGGAAATGTGTTATAGTTTTATATTTACCCGAAACTATCATGAAAATAACTTCTTATTTTCATTTTCGAAATATTATTGTTAAACACGATATTTGGATTTCATTTCTTACTGTTTTTACCCTAGACATTTATATAAAATTGTGTGAAGAGAATCTTAGTATTTAAATAGTTTTAGTATGTAGTGTTTACTGGCACAAAAATAAAGGGAAATATTTCTAAAATGATAAATTTACGATTTAATTTCACATGAAATTGCAACATCAACCACCATGAATGACAACCACAACTCAACTACAAATATTTACGTCTGACGTTGATCGACTTTTATGTATGTTGATGAAAATCACGTTCTATGCCAAATCAACAGCTAATATATACACAACCTAAGTCAAATATGGTATGTATATGTGTATAATCGGTCTTACATGTACAAAAAATAAAACAAATTTGTGAAATATGAAAAATTATCTGGATAAATTTGTGTCACTAAAAATCTCAAAAAAAAAGCATATGTTTTAAAAATGCACAACTCGGATGATTGAAATATTTATAGTTGCACCTATAAATTTATAAATAAGAAAGACTTTTTTCAGTGTTTTTATCCCAACATCAGTTTTGTTTCCTCTCAATAAAAGGAAGAATTTGGTAATCTGCTAGCTAGCTGGCCAAATTCCATTTGCCAAATATACTAATTGCAACAGAGATTTAAAGCAGCTTAGATACGATGTATATATATAAACATGATAAATACAGCTAGGTGATATCAATATATATACTCTTATCACTCACAAAGTATTTTTTGGTAAAATTAACATGAAAATTCATAATATTAATGTAAATGTAAAGTTTACAATTGAATACAAAATGTAACATTATAATACACTTGTTCAAAAACAAAATACGAGCAGGAAGAAGAAAGATGGCAGAGTTGTAGTGGACTCTCGAAGCAAGAAAATTATGTACAGTGTTGTTTTTTAACCTGTAAGTTGGAAGGAAACGAAAGACTAACATAAACTTATGTACACTAGCTAAATCACGATTTAATCCACACTTGGTCAAAAACAAGCTTCGTTCACCTGAAAGAATTTGAACATTTGTGTTATCATAGGATCATCTCATCCTGGCATTCCCTAAACAGGATAATGGACTGATCCTTATAAGGTATATATGGTCCATTGAAATAAGGTCCATCCCAACACAATTTAGGGGATTGAGTAAATGTGGAAAATTCAACATCTCGGGAACTGTTCTGTGAAATCCGTATCATATCACAACTGTTCAAATTCTGACTCGTACGACTTAAAAAATATCACAAATATCTCCTCATTTCTCAAGGTCAGGTGAATTTCCCGACAAAAACATGGTATACAAAATTGGAATGATTGGTTTTGTATCTGAAAGAAATTTGCATGAGACCCAAGAAATGAGTCGGAAGCTACATGTATGCTCTAATGTCTGAGCCGACTTGTCTCCAAATCGAGTCCCAAGTGCTGCTTAAGCGATGAACATAACCAATAGCTACTGGCATATTTTCTGGATGAAGCCGTGTGTATTTTATGAAAAACCAATATGACAACCACAAAGCTATGATCAGATCTTTAGCTTGTATACACGATTCCAACTCCCTCGTGTCAACCCGGGCTAATCTGAACAACCCAAATATCCTAGTGTCCGCTTTGAAGCTCTCAAATCACAGAATATGTGCAGGATTTGTTTTCGAAATTGCGACTACTTTGTTAAAATTGCCAACATTCAAGTTAAGGAATCAGCGTAAGAATTAAGAATTTATGATTTTGGATAATGGTTAAACCTTTCGAAAACTTCTAAGTTCCAACATTAGTGTAATCTAATGTTTCTTACAGAGCTATAGGTAGGGCAGTCAGAGGCTTTTATCTAACACAGATGATTTCAGTATTAATTTTAAAATAAGGTTCATCTGTTTTTCTTCTTTCGTTTTGTTTTGTCTCTATTGGAATGCATAGCCCTTTTGTCTATACATTTTGGTTCTGATTCAGTTCAAAATACTGGTATGTTGGGTTTTCGTAGCCGTTCATTTGCATGTTGGCAACATGCCTTTCCTCGGGTGATGCTGCCGGGTCGACCTCGACGAACCCGTGAGTGACTGGGCGTCGATGTGAGTGTTTACGCAGCATGATCACGGCAACAACAATGATGACAAACACGGCGACACTTCCGATGGCAATCCCGAAAATGCTTCCTGTGGCAGTTCCAATGTGTACGCCTACCTTCCCAACAGGCTGAAAGTAAAAATCATAATCCTTAAACTGTATGTATTGTTTGGAAAAATATAAAATTTGGCTGAAACCTGTAGGAGTTGTTCAGACAAGATTGTGTTGGTGATTTTTTTCTTAAAAGGGGAAATAACTCCCATAAATTTGGCCAGATCAAGATATTAACCGCAGGTAAACGACTCCCGAGTGTGAGGTTACAATATTGAATTTTTATGAAATTCGGTTGACACCTGAAGAAGTTGTGTCCAGACAAGATTGTGTCTTCAGACAACCTGATTCCAGTATAACCCGGGGTTGTCAGGGTATAATTGTATGTAAAAATTCCATTCAATTAACTTAAGCAGTTTCTTAGAATGCTCTGCCACACACCTATAGATGTGAAAGACAGAATAATTCCACCCTCAGATATTACAGTGTATGGGCAAGATTTTGCCCCCCATCATAAGGGCTTATTTATCCTGACAGCAATATTAATCCACAACTTGTAAGACTTGAATGGCAACTTGTAAGACTTGAATGGCTTTTTTTCAATGTTCAAGCCAGAATGAACACGAATATAAACACAATTTCTACTGGTAATGCTTATACAGGAAATTGCAGTGGAAATGTCAATAATATCAGCTGTATAATCACTTCATGTGAAAGGCAAAATCAAAGCTCAGCTAATGGGGATGTTTCCAGTGACGGGCAAGAGTTTGACTGGGCAAAATGTCCTGGTATACAATAATAAGATTCTACACATAAAGAGACTATTATTGTCAGTACCTGTTGGAACATGTGTTTGTCGTCCATATGGTGAGCTACAAAGTTGGTATCGTGTTCATTTTCTATTGTTTCTTCATCAAAATTGTTGATTCCGTCATCCTCCCTTACGTTGTCGTCTAAGATATCGTTGTTGATGTCGTCCTGGGATGGGAGGGGTACGACCTCTGCGACCTTGTGAATGACTGTGTCCATTGGTCCAAGGTTTACATTGTTATCCATGGCTACAAATTACCACACATTCAATTATGCATAGGAGCAGATCTTGTTCAATCATACATAGGAACAGATCTTGTTCAATCATACATAGGAGCAGATCTTGTTCAATCCTACTTAGGAATAGTTATTGTTAAATCATCCATAGGAGCAGATCTTGTTTAATCATACATAGGAATTGTTCTTGTTCAATCATACATAGGATCAGATCTTGTTCAATCATACATAAGCATAGTTCTTGTTCAAGCATACATAGGAGCAGCTCTTGTTCAATCATGCATAGGAATAGTTCTTGTTCACTCATACATAGGAGCAGATCTTGGTCAATCATACATAGGAGCAGATCATGTTCAATCATACATAGGAGCAGATCTTGTTCAATCATACATAGGAATAGTTTCTGATTCAAACACGACAACATTATATAGATACATAGATAGATATACAACATTTGATATAGTGCCCTATCTAGCTAACATAAGCCACTCTAAAGCGCTTTACAGTACATATTATAGGGAAATTTGACGCCAGATTATTTCTTTCTGTTTTGATCTCAAAAAATATTTTGTCTGCACACGTTTTGTTTACTTTGCATTTTTTTAAACTGTAACAATAATCTTACCGGGTAGGTCCTCCTGGCTCTCAGATGAGTCGCCCTCTTCCTCCGAGTCTACTTCAGGTGTGAAGGGACGGGACACAACCTCCCTTGCAGACTCGGCCAGACCCTCGTATTCGCGAAGGAAGTTATCTGCAAAAGTAAGAGGATAGAGACTATCTATGATACAGGTATATAACACGTATTATTGGTGACAGGTGTAGGAATCAGAATTGTCCCCTTCCTTGTGGTCTCCAACCCGAGAGGTGATTTATTTTTGGTTTTTCAACCCGGGGCTCTGCCGAGGGAAGGACAAACAATAAATATCCCTTAACATCAGCTATTTCTCTGCTACACCCCTCAAGGTAGGGGATGATTATTTTTTCTCCCATCCTTTTATTTCTGTCACAACTCCACAGACTGCTGCCGAGGGAAGGACAAACAAATAATCACACTTAACATCAGCTATTTCTCTGCTACACCCCTCAAGGTAGGGATGATTATTTTTCTCCCCCCATCCTTTTATATCTGTCACAACTCCACAGACAGCAGTTAGCGGGGCTCTGCCGAGGAAAGGACAAACAAATATTCACACTTAACATCAGCTATTTCTCTGCTACACCCCTCAAGGTAGGGATGATTATTTTTCTCCCATCCATTTATGTCTGTCACAACTCCACAGACAGCAGTTAGCGGGGCTCTGCCGAGGGAAGGACAAACAAATAATCACACTTAACATCAGCTATTTCTCTGCTACACCCCTCAAGGTAGGGGATGATTATTTTTCTCCCATCTTTTTATTTCTGTCACAACTCCACAGACTGCAGTTTAACATGTTTGTAAACAAAAGCGTATGTGGTTTATGAATGATGCCATTCACATTTTATGTCACAAGTCAGCGCATGCTATTTGTACATGGCTATCTCTCCCAAGTGCGGGAGACTTACTGATCTTTTCCGGCTAAAATGGGGTACAAACCTGTGAAGAGTAGTAGGAAAAGCTTCATAAAAGCCACAATACAGCCTTCTTTGATACTGCTTTAAAATTCAACTCAAAACTTAACTAACAAAATATTTTCAGTATAAAAGTTTGTTTAATATGTTCTCTTGGTCTTGTGTTACATTGTGAAAAATAAAGGAAAATTAGACAGCTTTATGTCCTTTGCTGCAAAAATTATAGCGAGAGTGTGTTAATAAAGGGAAAAGTTTGAAAAATTTGAAATTGTACTTTGGTCAAACATCCAAGATGGTGCCTGACATCAGTATTGTTGAAATAGTCTATATACTACTTTGACAAGTTTTCAGCTTTCCTGATGACCACTAAGTCTGATCAAATACAAAACTTCATGATACCATACTATGGTGTAAATATTTAACTAATATGTTATAATCCCATACTATGGTGTAAATATTTAACTAATATGTTTAATCCCATACTATGGTGTAAATATTTAACTAACATGTTTAATCCCATACTATGGTGTAAATATTTAACTTACATGTTTAATCCCAATCCCATACTATGGTGTAAATATTTAACTAACATGTTTAATCCCATATCATGGTGTAAATATTTAACTAACATGTTTAATCCAATACTATGGTGTAAATATTTAACTTACATGTTTAATCCCAATCCCATACTATGGTGTAAATGTTTAACTAATATGTTTAATCCCATACCATGGTGTAAATATTAAACTAATATGTTTAATCCCATACCATGGTGTAAATATTTAACTAATATGTTTAATCCCGTACTATGATGTAAATATTAAACTAATATGTTTAATCCCATACTATGGTGTAAATATTAAACCAATATGTTCAATCCCATACTATGGTGTAAATATTAAACTAATATGTTTAATCCCATACCATGGTGTAAATATTAAACTAATATGTTCCATCCCATACTATGGTGTAAATATTAAACTAATATGTTTAATCCCATACTATGGTGTAAATATGAGAGACTCCTGGGTATCTTGTAAACAAATCTTTTTACTTTAACTCATTCACCCCTGAAATTTCATAAAGAACTATTCCAACCTTTAAATTGGAAGAGTTAAAATGTGTCTTCAGGGGTGAATGAGTTAAACAGACAAAGTGATTTCTAAAAAAAAAAAAATCAACTATGTGGGGGTTAAAATAATTAAGCTCATCGTAATCAACAAAGTGACTGATACTTACCGATCATAGGTCTGACTTCTAGTTTGATTTTGTTGAAGTGGTTGAGCATGTCGAGGGCCTGGTTGATGCGCTGGTCAAGGACGCTGAGATGGTCCAATGAGGATTTCTGGATACGCTTGGCTTCCTCAATGTCGGTGTTACGAACGTGTACGAAATGATTGAGGGTGTGGGCACGGTCCTTCTCCTCTACCTTGATGTACTCCTTCAGGAACTTGAATACTCTCTGGACCTGGGGAGAGGAGGCCATAACACAATAAAAATACTCTCTGGACCTGGGGAGAGGAGGCCATAACACAATATAAATACTCTCTGGACCTGGGGAGAGGAGGCCATAACACAATATAAATACTCTCTGGACCTGGGGAGAGGAGGCCATAACACAATATAAATACTCTCTGGACCTGGGGAGAGGAGGCTATAACACAATATAAATACTCTCTGGACCTGGGGAGAGGAGGCCATAACACAATATAAACACTGTACCTACACATGATAATGAGTTTTATACCAGTACATTTTTTATTTTTTTTTTTAATTTTTCAAGATTTTCAGAACATGTACATTATAAAGAACTTCATATCAACACACATCCACACATTCACACATATCAACTATTGATATTATCATCCTCATATCATCATCCTCCTCCTGATCTTCATCATCTGATTTTATTCAATCACGTCCCAAGACACATTCATTTTATACCAGTACTTACAAGACATGGAAATATTGTACATTGAAAACATATCTGATACTGCTAACTTGTAAAGGATATTAAAAAGTAGAAGTGTCTTGCCTGTCCATCTTTTCCACATACACTTATATATCATGCTCTTGTGGATATATAGTATAACAGCCACAGACCCGCAACTGAACATCAACTGGCTTATGTAGTAAAGGATTGGAGTATTTGGATAAATACAAAACAGAAATTCCTAGGGTCAAACTTGCATCTTAACTTATCCAGTCTATTCTTTAACATATGTTGTGCTATCTAGAAATTGACCTTAAACAAATGAAAAAGGCAAACTTCTTGCCAAGAGGAGTCACTCTAATCTAGTAAAAAACAGGTTGTTTTACCTTCTATAAACAAGGGAGAAAACTCCCAAGTTTGAAAAAAGACAGCTCTGACGTGGAAAATTTCTTTGACTCGTACAGTGGTACCTTTATTACTTAACCCTTTCACCCCTATGTAACTTTAGTAGACTCTACCATGCATTGATCTGGATGAGTCCATTATGGTCTACAGGGGTGAAAGGGTTAACATGGTAGAAAGTTTGAACTAACATTATCCTGTGGTTGCCCCTAGTGACAACACACAAATCCTCTGAAGGCTTCGGCCAACTGACTTCCATGCTATACGTACATCAACATGGGGCCTTTGTAGTTCAGTCATGTACTTCTCCAGGTTCACCCTCTTCCTCCTGTTGAGCTCGCCCTGCCTCCTCTGGAGGTGGAGAGCCACCAGCTGTCTCTTCTCAGCAGCATCAGCCTGTTCATAGCCGGTGTACAGCAGCTGGAATCTCTGTAATATACAGGATAACAAGTTACAGATACTGGTTGTTAGGTTACGGTAACAAGTTGTCAGGTTACAGTAACAAGTTGTGAGGTTACAATAACAAGTTGTCAGGTTACGGTAACAAGTTGTCAAGTTACAAGGAACAGTTGCCAGGTTACAGGGATTGGTTGTCAGTTACACAGATAAGTTGCTGGATTACAGGGATCAGTTGTCAGATTACAGTAACAGGTCGGTAGGTTATATTACAGAGACCAGCCTTCAAATTACTTGGACTAACTGACTTATTGCTGAGAAAATTTGAGAATTATATGTATATATATATACCAGCTAAACAGGAATTTGTTTGAATAAATTACATAGCAATGCAGCTTCGTACTTATACATTACCTGGTTATATAATGATGTGTTGCCTGGTTATATGGATGTGTTGCCTGGTTATGTGGATGTGGTGCCTGGTTATGTGGATGTGTTGCCTTGTTATGTGGATGTGTTGCCTGGTTATGAGGATGTGTTGCCTGGTTATGTGGATATGTTGCCTGGTTATTTGGACGTGCTGCCTGGTTATATTGATGTGTTGCCTGGTTATTTGGATGTGTTGCCTGGTTATATGGACGTGCTGCCTGGTTATGTGGATGTGTTGCTTGGTTATGTGGATGTACTGCCTGGTTATGAGGATGTGTTGCCTGGTTATATGGACGTGCTGCCTGGTTATGTGGATGTGTTGCTTGGTTATGTGGATGTACTGCCTGGTTATGAGGATGTGTTGCCTGGTTATGTGGATATGTTGCCTGGTTATATGGATTTGTTGCCTGGTTATTTGGACGTGCTGCCTGGTTATATTGATGTGTTGCCTGGTTATGTGGATATGTTGCCTGGTTATGTGGATGTGTTTCCTGGTTATGTGGATGTGTTGCCTGGTTATGTGAATGTGCTGCCTGGTTATGTGGATGTGTTGCTTGGTTATGTGGATGTACTGCCTGGTTATGAGGATGTGTTGCCTGGTTATGTGGATGTTCTGCCTGGTTATGTGGATATGTTGCCTGGTTATGTGGATGTGTTCCCTGGTTATATTGATGTGTTGCCTGGTTATGTGGATGTTGTGCCTGGTTATGTGGATATGTTGCCTGGTTATGTGGATGTGTTGCCTGGCTATGTGGATGTGTTGCCTGGTTATGGGGATGTGTTGCCTGGTTATGTGGACGTGCTGCCAGGTTATGTGGATATGCTGCCTGGTTATATGGATGTGTTGCCTTGTTATGTGGACATGCTGCCTGGTTATGTGAATGTGCTGCCTGGTTATGTGGATGTGTTGCCTTGTTATGTGGATGTGTTGCCTGGTTATGAGGATGTGTTGCCTGGTTATATGGACGTGCTGCCTGGTTATGTGGACGTGCTGCCTGGTTATGTGGACGTGCTGCCTGGTTATGTGGATGTGTTGCCTGGTTATGTGGATGTGTTGCCTGGTTATATGGACGTGCTGCCAGGTTATGTGGATATGTTGCCTGGTTATATGGATGTGTTGCCTGGTTATTTGGATGTGTTGCCTGGTTTTGTGGATGTGTTGCCTGGTTATATGGACGTGCTGCCAGGTTATGTGGATGTGTTGCCTGGTTATGTGGACGTGCTGCCTGGTTATGTGGATGTGTTGCCTGGTTATATTGATGTGTTGCCTGGTTATTTGGACGTGCTGCCTGGTTATATTGATGTGTTGCCTGGTTATGTGGATGTGTTGCCTGGTTATGTGGATGTGTTGCCTGGTTATGTGGACATGCTGCCTGGTTATGTGAATGTGCTGCCTGGTTATGTGGATATGTTGCCTGGTTATTTGGACGTGCTGCCTGGTTATGTGGACGTGCTGCCTGGTTATAGTGATGTGTTGCCTGGTTATGTGGATGTGTTGCCTGGTTATGTGGATGTATTGCCTGGGTATGTGGACGTGTTGCCTGGTAATGTGGATGTGTTTTTTGGTTATGTTGAGTGATTGCTTAATTACAAGGATCTCTTGCCTATTTACATAAATATGTGACCTGTTAATAAATGCTTGCAAAGTTGCATGATTATTTGGCAACAGGAACATATTAAACGATTATAGAAATGTGTTGTCACTTTACAAAGCATGTTTATAACTGTGTTGCCTGGTAACATGACTGTCTTCTAGCTTACAAGATGCATTCCATATTTCAGGAATATTTATTGAATATTTAATGTAAAAGATATTGTTCAATCAGCTGGAGACACTGTAATAATATTTTCATTTTTTTTTAACTCTCAATTTTTCAAATGTTTACATTAACAAACATAGACACACATTATAATTCTGTGACATTTTAAAGAAATAGGATGATAGGTTAATTAGGAGTGTCCATTAACAGGGACAGATAAACAAGAACGTGTTGCTAGGCTACTCAGCTTGTTTGGTTACAGAGCGTTGCCATAGTGACATACCTTCATGACATCAGCGTTGAGAGCCTCAGCACCCTTAACATCAGTTTTCTTCATCTCTGCGATCTGTGCTCTGGCCTCCTCCCATTCTTTCATCATCTACAAACATATCAACAAGTTCACTATATTCTTTTTATAACTTGTGCATTTTCCTTATGAGTTCAAGCTAAATTTTCCCAATAATTTTACACCCAATTCTCATCCAACCACCTAACTGTATAGTGAGTGGGACCAGGAATATATATAGTGATAAATATAGTACCAATGCTGAGGCTTGAACCCGCGACCCTTGGCTCTCCAGCCTGATGCTCTACCACTGAGCTAAAGGGTAATTCCCTACATCGGACACTTGTAAGGCAACCGCATCAATGCACATCTTTCACAAACCCATCTCCACCCACCCCCCCACACTTTGTTTTTTTTTCTCATGTTTATCAGTTTCCAATGTTACATGACTACCTAAAGGATGTTGCATTGCCGTGCCCTTTATTTGTCCTACAATGGTATGTTGAAAATAAATTTCCCTAACTTAATAGGCACTCCTACTTTTAGACAAAGAAACACAAAATCTCTGATCATAGTTGAAATTTTAGCTACATCAGTGGAAATGTGCTGATGTGGGCCTCATTAAAATCTGCAACTGTTCCACTAATTAAATCATAACCAGGAGATGGCAGAGCAACTTAAAATCAATTTGAAAATTTGATTGAAGCAGAATTCCCCCTTTAAGCAGCAGCAACATACAAAGGAAAAAGAAACAGTTTTATATTATTGACTTTAAGATTTGAAATTTAGTAACTACCGTTTTACATTAAAATCCAGTCACTCGGTTTAAAATTAAGAGCCACATTTATGTCTGCAGCCGATAGTTAGCACAGTCAGATGTTGTAACGCCTGTAATTATTGTGAGACACGGCGACAAAGAGGCAATCTAGAAGATTTGTATCACTTCCACAATGTGGGCACAACAGGAATTCTATAATTCTAAAATGTCTTTAAACAGTGTCACTGCATCAAATGAAGCAACTATACATTTCAATCCTACAGTTTTAAATTTTATATTCAACAATACCCCATCAGTATTTTTCAGTAAAAGGACTTAATTATGCTTTGAGTTCAAAATTCATATAAGGTTTTTTTGTCCGAAAGGATATGCAATGAATCGAGATATGTAATTGAAATTACCAAATGTCGGTCAACAGCTAGAACATGCATGGACATTGGAAGAGACTTTAACTCATTCATCCCTGAAGACACATTTGAACCCTTCCAATTCAAAGGTTGGAATAGTTCATTAGGAAATTTCAGGGGTGAATGAGTTGAGCCTAATACTGTGTTAACATATACTTTTGTTTATCATGTCATATGATTTATGCAAGTCACAAGAAAATTCAGCTGAGCATGGAATCGATATTTGAGCACGAGAACGGTTTCATGAATATAAGCCCTGATCTAGCATGAAAAATGATTCTTCAATTCAAAACAACATGTATTGGATTATTCCAAAAAAACATGGAATTTCTTGTAAATTACTGATCACTGTAGATGACAAAGGTAGTCTGACCATATATTATTTTACAAACATATACTTTCTAGTTAAAAACTCAGGAACCGACTGATGGATGCCATACGCCAGAACAACTCCTGAGTAAACACATCCGGGACTCTACAAGTCCACCACAACCAGGTATTCTGTCGCTATATTAGTATCAATATCTGTACAGTTGCTTTTTCGTAATTGATTTGTTTCATGTTGAATGCGGTAATTTAAAACGACCTCGTCAGCGTTTGCGCTCGTTACGATAATAACAGACATTAGAGATCCCCAGGGACGAGTATGACTCACTCCATAACATCAAAGACAGGCAACTCATTTGCATACTCAATTAAAATGCACTAATTAGCGCTATTTTAAATCTTACAGCCAAACAGATGACATCACCCAGCCATCACTCAACTTTAGATAATATATGGCTGAAGTAATGCACAGGTTGTGGTTTTGTTGATAGGGGGAATTAGAAAATCTGACAGTGTTACATAAAAGAATTTAATGTTGATCTACATTTTCTGTTTTCCATATTTTAGTTTTCAAAATGAATTCTGTATGTATGCTACAATAGGCTCACCGTGCCATTACACATGATCTCCAATTCCAAGTTTGGGGTCGGGATTAATACAGGAAAATGATATAGCATTTCCTGGCATTGCTGAGCTGCAATACATATGGGTGGGCTTATTGCCAGGCATGGGCTTATTGTCAGGCATGGGCTTATTGTCAGACATGGGCTTATTGTCAGGCATGGGCTTATTGTCAGACATGGGCTTATTGCCAGGCATGGGCTTATTGTCAGACATGGGCTTACTGTCAGGCATGGGCTTATTGCCAGGCATGGGCTTATTGTCAGGCAGGGGCTTATTGTCATACATGGACTTATTGTCAGACATGGACTTATTGTCAGACATGGGCTTATTGTCGGACATGGACTTGTTGCCAGACATGGGCTTATTGTCAGGCATGGGCTTATTGTCAGACATGGGCTTATTGTCAGGCAGGGGCTTATTGCCAGACATGGGCTTATTGGCAGGCAGGGGCTTATAGTCAGGCAGGGTCTTATTGGCAGACAGGGGCTTATTGCCAGACATGGGCTTATTGTCAGGCAGGGGCTTATTGCCAGACATGGGCTTATTGTCAGGCAGGGGCTTATTGCCAGACATGGGCTTATTGCTGGATAGATATGTAAAATAAAGCAGCTTATTCAAGGGCCAATTTGTTAAAGGCGATTTCAACTTTACAACAAGCACAAAGCATTCCTTTAGTCATTTCTAAAAGTATCAAAAGAATTAAAACTACAGAAATAAATAATGATCTATTGCAACACTCTACCTGCTGAAGGTAAAAGGGAATTTGAAACCTTTTGCTGGTAATCAAGATGGCAAGTGAATGAGGGGCAGTATGTCAAATAGGGATATACAATTTAACTATAGCCCGGAGACCGGGGATTATCAGGAGTGTTTGGATTATTTGTGTTTTACGTTCTATTAACAGCTATGCATGGTCATTTAAGGACATGCCAGGTTTTCATGGTGGAGGAAAGCGGGAGTTCTCGGAAAAAAACCTGGATTATCAAGAGACGACAGTATCAACGTACCAGTCAATATAATAATAGCTTAGTCCAAACAGTTCGTTTTGTTCAAACAGCAATACCTTGTTGATGCGATCCTGGTGCCTTTTGTTGAGGGCCAGTTCTGAGTTCTTGAACCTCTCGTGCTCGTTTCTGAATCGGGCCAAGTATTCCTCATCGTTACGGAGGTAGGCCTGGTAGGCGTCGTCCACGTTGGCGTCCTTGTCCACAATGATGGTCTTAGCTTTGTCCTCCTTTGGCAGGCTGACCACTCCTGGATGGTCAATAGGCGTTTCTGTAAATACACAAAAGCCGGAATTGTCACTTTTTCTTCTTCTCATACACGCAATATTTCTATCCTTTTTTATAATGATACATTGATCCAGTTTTGATTTAATGCAATAAAAATCTTTACATTCTAAGGGAAATAAAAATTTCCTATAACATCTGTAAGAGTTTTTCCTTAACTTTAATTTGTCTAAGAATGACCATTGCTTTAGTTAACCCTTTCACCCCTATGTTACTTTAGTAGACTCTACCATGCATTGATCTGGACGAGTCCATTATGGTCTACAGTGGTGAAAGGGTTAAAGGGCATTCATGAAACATGCTTTGCGTGTCCCAGGGCTCTGTGTCATGTTTATCTCCAATGAAGAAGAATTCTAACTTCTTCAGCATTATTCAGACTTTGAGTAGCTTGAAATATAGTTACTAATGTGTACCAGGAATTTATTGTCACAGTTAATCTTTTGGAGTTTTTTGCTCTCTGTAACGAGGGTGTATTGATCACAACAGCAAATATTTACTACACAACCTACTATAGATAGTCATCACATGTAAAGGTAAAATATAACACTAGACGAATATGTATTTTACCAGTGAATGTTTGCCAGTATACAGTATATTCAGGGAGCTTATCCACTGAGCTGATGAACATGATATTTGTAATATTCACTCTTTTCTTCAACATTACTGGGAATAATTTCAAAATGTTGTTTCTTCATAAAAAAATTACCTGCAACAACCTATAACTGCATTTGTTATCAGTATAGAGAAAAACAGGAAGAGAACCTCAAGGTTTTTTACATGATGGAAAAGTGGTAGGACTCTCTACCTTAAAGGACTATGTATGGTTTCGGCCTTTTTTGCCCCCAAATCCATCAAAATTAAAAATCTGCAATAGAACTTTCAAACGCATGTTTTTTTAATTTTGAATACTTCCCCAGTACTATTATGTAAACATTTATTTGTGTTTTCAATTTTGGCTGCCATGGTAACCAGGTCATATTTGCATAATTTATTGACATTTGATTATTCAGTCAATTTTGACAGGCTTTCACCTAGTTTTTCTCTTAGTTACCATAGAGCGCCCTCTTGAACAAACTTTATATTTCACCTAAAGATGTAATTACAGATGCCTACACATTATCCTTTGATATTAAGTTTGTTCAAGCATGCGCTCTATAGTTTCTAGGAGAAAAACTATGCAAAATATCACAATACTCACTGAATGTTCATTTTTTTTCTAATTTATGCAAATTTGAACTTGTTAACCATGGCAACAATAATTAGAAATATAAATAAATGTTTTCATAACAGTATTTGGGAAGTATTCTAAATCAAAGAAACGGTCATTTCAAAGTTCATTTAAAGGTTTTGAATTTTGATGCATTTGGGGGCCAAAACAGGCCCAAACCATACATAGTCCTTTATCTAGAATCTCTCAACTCAAACAGATCATTCTGATAAAACCTACTGTTGGTAATTCTAACTGACATTTTTTCCAATAATCATGGACATCCTGATCTCAAATATTGGTTCATGGACTTCTCACATCAAGTTTAAAGCAGGTTTTAAAATGTACTGTTATGCTTGAAGTACCATGCAATGTTTGAAATCAAATCAGGAAAACATCAAACCAGAATTTATAGGCAAACATTCCGACAGAGAAACTGTTACATAGCATAGTTCGCCTCCACTTCGATACCCAGAGGTACCATAGACTTGCGTAGTTCTGATATTGGAGAAATCTGTGCTGGCAACACTTGATATTGATTAGAAAGTAAATCTCCATTTACACCAGCACTTTCCATCTCTGTAACACACCAGTAACACACCCTACTCCAGCTCTCTATCACACATTTCATAGATCAATCTCTCACACACTTCATAGTTCTCTCTCACACACTTCATAGTTCTCTCTCACACACTTCATAGTTCTCTCTCTCGACCACACTTCATAGATCAATCTCTCACACACTTCATAGTTCTCTCTCACACACTTCATAGTTCTCTCTCACACACTTCATAGTTCTCTCTCTCGACCACACTTCATAGATCAATCTCTCACACACTTCATAGTTCTCTCTCACACACTTCATAGTTCTCTCTCACACACTTCATAGTTCTCTCTCTCGACCACACTTCATAGATCAATCTCTCACACACTTCATAGTTCTCTCTCACACACTTCATAGTTCTCTCTCACACACTTCATAGTTCTCTCTCTCGACCACACTTCATAGATCAATCTCTCACACACTTCATAGTTCTCTCTCACACTTCATAGTTCTTTCTCACACACATAGTTCTCTCTTTCACACTTCATAGTTCTCTCTCTCACACTTCATAGTTCTCTCTCTCACACTTCATAGTTCTCTTTCTCACACTTCATAGTTCTCTCTCTCGACCACACTTCATAGATCAATCTCTCACACACTTCATAGTTCTCTCTCTCACACACATAGTTCTCTCTCACACACTTCATAGTTCTCTCTCTCTCTCACTTTATAGTTCTCTCTCACACACTTCATAGTTTTCTCTCTCGATCACACTTCATAGATCAATCTCTCACACACTTCATATTTCTCTCTCATACTTCATAATTCTCTCTCACACACTTCATAGTTCTCTCTCACACACTTCATAGTTCACTCTCTCGATCACACTTCATAGATCAATCTCTCACACACTTCATATTTCTCTCTCTCACTTCATAGTTCTTTCTCACACACATAGTTCTCTCTCTCATACTTCATAGTTCTCTTTTTCTTTCACATTTAATGGTTTCCTTTGTCTTTCCAACTTGATCGATCCCTCTCTCTCACTCAACGGTTCTTTTTATTTCACATTCAATGGTTTCCTGTCTTTTTAACTTAATGGTTCTGTCTTTCACATTCAATGGTTTCCTCTCTCACACTCAGTCTCACTGTTTCCCATCTTTCTCATAACCAGCAGTACATCCTCCGTCACTCAACCGTCCCTTTCTCTCATCATATTCAAGAATACACTCTCTAATTCTCACAATTGACAGTTCTAGTTCTCACAAAATTGTCCCATCCCTCTTACATTTCAATATTTCCCTCTCTATTATACTCAATGGTCACATATATGGCCCAAATTTCTCAAAACAAACTGAGCTTAGCTTACAATTATTGTAAAATGAACTTTTTGCCAATATTACCATTATCAATAGATTGAGCAGGCCAATGCCAGACTATAAAATAGATATATCTGATGTATATATATATTCTGTGAGTTAATACAGTTTGTGGCCTCATCACTATTGCAGACACACAAGTTACACTGACAGAACAGTGTTACCCTGCCGAGAACCCATTCAGTGTGTACAATAGACCTGATAATTTCAGTAACCTTTACTGAAAGCCCATTATCATGCCAGGAGCAGCTCTTCATCAATGCTTGGTCAGCTTCATCAGCTTCGTCCAATATTCAAATTGGAGCAAAATTTAACTTATTTCCCTTCACTTCTGTGATTATCACAGGCAAAAACTTAAACAAGCCTTGCTTTGATTTTTAAAGTACAAAAAAAAATAAAAAATATGTGAAAAGAATCAAACACAAGATTGTCACTAAGCTGGTTGAGATTAAGACAGATGAGCCCTACCAATGTGTAGCCGTGTTGATATAATAGTCACTGTGTTTTGGTCCAGAGATGGACTTCACATAGGGAATGAACAGATATATAACAGGATTACCTAAAACTAATGGAACATTATAAAGGGCCTCTGGCTAGTAAACTTACACACTATTGCTCAAAGGATTCTGGCCAGCATTTTAACAGCCATACACCATTACACAACATTCCGGTCAGTATCCATACCTGCCAACCTTATGAAATTCACATGGGGGAGATTCCATGTGCTCAACATTGTAAACTTAAATAAAATGTGTATATATACCTCCAGATAAAAAATTATCGACTGTAAACCATAATGGACTCATCCAGATCAAAGCATGGAAGAGTTTACTTAAGTTATGTAGGGGTGAAGGGTTAAAAGTGTTTCAGGATCCCTGTCCCACTGTAGACACACCTTTAAACTAGGTATTTTGAGCTGTTCTTTCAGCGGAAATCACTAAGTCTTAGAATATAGGAATAGTTTTGCAAATTCACTCGTTGAAAATACTAGATGGAAGGGTCCTAGATTTGGAGCCTCCCTCCTAAATAGGGAGAGTTGGCAAGTATGAGTATTCTCACTTTAAACAACCATCACCCACACTCAAAGACTGCTCTTCATTTAAAATCATTCTGATAAACCCTCATACTTACAGCATCTTCAACATATGACACTAAACGTGTCTGTCTACTACCACCACAAACTTTTACACCTAGTATCCCCCCTCACACAATAAATATCCAAAATATAACCAAACATCAACCCAATGCATCAAGTCTGTCTGTCTCTTGTCAAATATATATCTCAAATTTTCATTTCATTAAATGTTTGTTGCTGTTTTTTGAAGAATTTATGTTTTCCTGGAAAACCATTTTTACTGAATAATATCCATGCCATTTCAGAACAGATAACATTTCTGCTGCCTGAATATATTTTGAATATACATCCGTTTTATATCTAGACATCAAGATATTACACAGGTACCCCTGAGACTGGGCCAGGCTTCCTGCCAGTTATGGTCTGGTGAGTAAATAGCCGAGTCCTACCACATATTACATGAAAACAGATCAATCATTTTCACTCATAGCACACAAGCACTCCGGAGACCTGAATGTTTCCCAGTGATCTGTATCATTTTGAGGCTCTAGATGGTTTACTGACATATCACATCAGTCTATTACAATGTGAATGTACAACTATTGTATACACACATCAAACTCCTCCTTAATCATTCTTTAAACTAGCTGTCTCCTTACAGTTGGCCGTACCACTGACAAAAACTGTAACTAGTTATTGGAATCTGTTTTTCCTGGCATGACTATTAGCTTTGATAAATCGCTTAAAAGAATATCAATACCTTGTGTCATGACTTTAACGA